GCGGCCATCGGCTGCGACACCGCCGCCGTCATCTCTGACGGCGATGGCAAGTTCACAAGCGGCTGCGTCTCACTCTGTCCCAGCCCAGAGAGGATTCCGGGCGCCACAGTAGCAGGAGACTGCTCTGGCGTCGGATGCTGTGAAGCTGCAGTTCCTTATGGAAGGAGGCGTCTAAGCCTCGGCGCAAGCAGTGTTTTTGGCTACGTTAATGTCTCGGCGTTCGACAACTGCAGTTACTCCTTTGTGTCGGAAAACGGTGCGTACGAGTTTAAGTTGGAGGATTTGAGGGATTTCAAGAGCAGAGCGAACGTATCTGCGAGGCTGGAGTGGGCGATTGGCGACGGCGCCGGGTGTTCCAGCCCGCATTTCTGCGGGGAAAACAGCTACTGCGTGTCTTCGCCAAGAGGTAGTGGGTATCTCTGTAATTGCTTGCAGGGGTTCAAGGGGAACGCATACTTGAATGGCTCTTATGGCTGCCAAGGTATGAAGAAAGCGTCATGAAAACAATGGTTGCATAAATTTAACAAAAAAATGTGATCAATTCCTATTTGCAGATGTTAATGAGTGCATGAACCCGAACGCTAGCCCATGTGTCCCCGAAGCTCGCTGCCAGAACTTGGTTCCTGGGTACAAATGTTCTTGTCCTTTTGCTACAACTGGGGATGGAACCAGGAATCGATCTGGTTGCAGAAAGATTTTTCCAATTGTTGAAGCCATTCTAGGTGCACAAAATTTAGTCTAGATCTGCATCTTGCTTTTGTAATTTTTGCTGAATTCTACTCCTTTTTTCTCATAGGAACTGCTCTCGTGATTGGAGCAATTCTTATATTAGGGCTCTGGATCTACTTTTCACAAAAGCAGAGATCGCTTATCAAACAAAGGGAGCAATACTTCAGAAAGAACGGCGGCCTCCTTTTGCTGAGACAGCAATTATCCATCAATGAAGGCTTGGCTGACAGCTCTAGAATCTTCTCCTCCGAAGAGCTGCAGCGAGCCACCGCAGGCTACAGCGACACCCATATCATTGGCACTTCTAGCTACGGCAAAGTATACAGGGGCATCCTCGATGACGGGAGGACGGTTGCCGTAAAAACGTTAAGAGCAATGGAGCGCTCCCAGATCGAACAGTTCGTCAACGAAGTCGTCATCCTTTCAAATATCAACCATCAAAACATCGTAAGGCTTATCGGCTGCTGCCTTGAAACTAAATCTCCAATGCTGGTCTACGAGTTCGCAGCCTATGGAAGTCTGTACAAGCAACTGCATGAGAGAGACTTTAGCCATGGTAGCCGACTGTCATGGAAGGATAGAGTGAGGATTGCCCTTGAGACTGCTGAGGCGCTTGCTTTCCTGAATTCGGCAGCATCCATATCAATCTTGCACCAAGATGTTAAATCGTTGAACATTTTGTTGGATGATAACTTCACCGCCAAGATTGCAGATTTCGGTATCTCAAGTTTGGTTCTTGCGGACCAGACCGAAATGCCTCCTTTAGGGCAGGGGAGCTTTGGGTATTTGGATCCTGAGCACTTTCAATCGAGCCAGTTGACTGCGAACAGCGATGTTTATAGCTTCGGGATCATATTAGTTGAGCTTCTGACGGGTCAGAAGCCGATTTCAATTTCGATGGAGAGACCGAAGGAAGATGGCAATCTGGCAATGTACTTTCTGTCCTCTCTTAAGTGCAAGGAGTTGAAGTGATGAGAGAAAGGAGGTTTGAGCAGGTGAGAGCACTGGCCAAGCTTGCGAGGAAATGCTTACAGTTGAGAGGGGAGAAGCGGCCTACCATGAAGGAAGTGGCTCAGGAGTTTGGTCTTGTAGCAGAGCGTTGGAAGAATGAGGGGAGCGATGAAATTGAGGAAGAAAACTTTTGAAAGAGTTTGTTAAAGAGATCAGATGTACAGGATAGTATTCTGAGAAATGTTTCAATGCCGCGAGATAGGAAATTTTGATTTTCTCCGATCTGCACCGTAAGTGAACTAATATTTTTCCCGTTGGAGTCAATGAACTCTTTCCTCCATGTTTAGCCAATGTGTGAGAGCAAATTTAGAAATCATGTCCAATTTTTCATGTTTGTTTGTTCTTTTTTTTTTTATTTTTTTGGGTGGAAAGGTTTATCGAAAGCCCAATTATTTTTATGCAAATATATATCTAACACCTGAAAAATTCATATTACATGTACACCGATGAATCCTATACATTACTCTTAAAAGTAAAATACAATCTTTTCGTGTATAAGTTTATGAATCATAAAAAGAAAAAAGAGCCAGTTATATATATCTAACACCTGAAAAATTCATATTACATGTGCACCAATGAATCCTATACATTACTCTCTTAAAAATAAAATACAATCTTTTCGTGTATTTATGAATCATAAAAAGAAAAAAGAGCCAGTTGGGGAAAAAAATTCATTTGGATTAAACTATCTTACTACCTGACAACCTCTTTCTCCTTTTCTTTTCTCCCTATCTAAAATTGTAAACTCTCTCCTTTCCTTGGGCTTCTCTAGACTGAGAAGCCTCACCCCTCTAGAGTCTTTGCTATGGAAGACTTTCGCTCTCTCCTCTTCCTCTACTGTCTTCAATTTAGAGCTTTCACATTTTCTTAATTGGAAAGGCTTAACAGCCTCTCATCTATCAAGCCCCTCTGCTTTTAAATTCTCTTGCATCCCTCCTTCAAAATATAAAATTTATTAATCTGATTGTGAGGTGCAGGAAAGCTTCAAAGAGATGGAATCTAGCACACATGGGCCACACTCTCGGTAAAAGACCATTCTACGGTAATCTCTTACAAAGTATCACTAGGATCTGTAAACTAAAGGATGGGTTGAACTCATCTTTTTATTGAAGGATTTTTTTTTCTTTTTAAATTCATTCATGTTGAAGATTATGATATGGCTTTGGATGGAGGGACATGGTTTTTGAACGACCAACCTTTTATTGTTAAAAATTGGACTCACATGTTTCAACATGTTAAGAAAATTTCAAAAAAATATCATTTGGATTTAACAATCCAACTTATCTATATTTCCTTGGTCTGATAAGGTGATGTCCAAAATTGTGAGTAAGATCGGGGTACCTCTAGCCATTGATCCCCTAACGACCACAGGATTGAGGCATACTTTCACAAGAGTTAGTGTTGAGATCCACACTAACCCCATTCTACTAGATTCAATCACCATATTATTTTAATGGTGTTGAGTTTGGAGCCCTTCCTGTCTTCCCGCTCCAACTCCCGTCGCGAACTCAACTCTTGCTTCAGCTCATGATCGCGAAACATCGCGACCCCAGCCTGCTCTTGCCTCCTGTTCGTGAAACGCCTCCTCCTCCTGTTCCTGTTTCGCGAAGCAAAGCTTCAGTTCATCTCCCGCCAATTCAGTCGTGAACCGATGGGCTCTCTCTCTCACGATAAAAGGCATCACAACGGCTCTCCTTCAGTTTACAACATGAACTTATTGTGTTCTTCTTTGGGCTTCTTAGGGATCGAGGAAGAGAAGTGCAAGCAGTAGTTTCTTGCGGCATAAGGAAGAAGAAGAAGATTGTTCTCCCTTGGCTTCTTCTTGATGGCTTATGGTAGAAGAGAAATTGAGTTTATTTCTCTTGTAAGTTTATCTTCTTCGGTGTATCTTGGTGTAGAGAGAGAAGAAGAGAGAGCAAGTAAGTGAGAGATCCCTCATGTAAAATGAGACGATCGACTGGTATAAATTCCTCTACAACTCCGTGGACATAGGCAATTTGCCTAACCACGTAAATGTGTGTTCCGATGTGTTACTATTTTCTGGTGTAAATTTTCTCGTTCTATTTTTTGCTCATCAAAGATTGTTCTTCTATTTTAAATTTCATATATATACCAGAACAACTGGTATCAAAGACATGTTTTGGATTTGAGGAAGAACAATGGCTACCAAATGAAGTGAAGCTTTCAGGGATCGAGAAATTTGATAACACAGATTTTGGTTATTGGATGATGCACATAGAGAATTATCTCCATGGGAATAAACTTCATCTTCTTCTATTGAGACAAGAACTAAAAGGATGGATGAGGCTGAATGAAATTTGTTGGATCGACAAGTTCTGAGGGTTATTCGATTGACCTTATCAAAGTCCGTTGCATACAACTTTGTCAAGGAAAGGACGACCGCAGATCTCATGGCAGCCTTGTCAGGTATGTATGAAAAGTCATCGAAAAATAACAAGGTGTGAAAAGCCATTACTAGATGAATAAGTTATTTAACTTGAAGATGGCGAAAGGTGTTTCTGTTGCTCAACATTTAAATGATTTCAATACTTTCACAAATCAAATGTCATTTGTTGAAATCGATTTTGATGATGAGATACGTCGTTGATATTGTCAGTATCATTTTCAAATAGATGGGAAGCCATGAGGGTGACAGTTAGCAGTTCTGCAAGTAAATCTAAACTGAAATATGATGATATTCATAATTTGATTTTGGTTGAGGAGGTACACAGAAAAGATACTGACAAGATCTCAGGTAAGAGTTCAGCATTGAATGTTAATTTCAGAGGGAGATCACAGAATAGTAACTCAAATAGAGGGAGATCAAAATCAAAGTCTGGTTAGCACACAACCTGTTGAAATTGTGGCAAAGCTAGACACATAAAGAGGAGCTACAGAAATCCCAAGAAGATGAAAAATGATAGCGCAAATGTGAATTCTAAAGAAGTACAAGATGCACTACTGCTACCAGTTCATAGTTTTGTTGATAACTGGATATTGGATTTAGGAGCTTCTTTCTTACAACATTCTATCAGGAATTGATGCGAAATTATGTTACAGGTGACTTTGAAAATGTATATTTGGCAGATGGAGAAACATGGAATGTGGTAGAGAGTGGGTCCTGGGCATCTATTCTTATTGTTCCACTGGCAGATGGTGGAGAACCATAGAGTCAAGAAGAAATCTTGCAAGATGAAAATTTACGCAAGTGGGAGCTGGCAGTACTTCCACCATGGAAGAAGACATTATACAAAAAGTGAGTGTATCGGGTGAATATTGAGCTTGATGACAGTAAGAGGTACAAGACTAGACTTGTTGAAAAAGGCTTTCAGCAGATGTAGAATATTGCCCATTCAGTGGGAGTTGTAAGCAGAGATAAGAGTAAGCTAGGAAATAGCTTAGAGGTGCAAGGCTATGTGGACCCTGCTGATATGTTGACTAAGGGTGTTACTCTTGAGAAACAGAAGTTGTGCGCAGTTTTAGTTAGTCTTCTGGTGTGAAGACAAGGGGCTTTGAGTTGCAGAGGTGGAGGATTCATGTTTGAAGAAAAAGGCTGCTCCGCCAGTGGAGGATATTAGTTTGAGGAAGGAGATGTTGCAGCCTATGTACCAATATCCAAGTGGGAGGTTTGTTGAGTTTGCAGCCTGGTCCGTCTTCCCGCTCCCGCTCCATTTGCAACCCCAACTTCCTCTTCCATTCTTGATCGTGAAATGTCGCGACCCAGTATGCTCCTGCCACATGTTCATGAAAACCCTCCTTCACCTGTTTCTGTTTCGCAAAACAAAGCTTTAGTTTGTCTCCCGCCTCTTTAATCGCGAACCGATGAGCTCTCTCTCTCCTGATAAAAGGCGTTGCAGTGGCTCTCCTTCAGTTTACAACACGACCTTTTTGTGTTCTTCTTTGGGCTTCCTCGGGATAGAGGAAGAGAAGTGCAAGTATTAGTTTCTTGAGGTAGAAGGAAGAAAAAGAAGAAGAAGAAGAAGAAGATTGTTCTCCCTTGGCTGCTTTTTGATGGCTTGTGGCAGAAGAGAAATTTGATTTATTTCTCTAGTAAGTTTATCTTCTTCGGTGTATCTCGGTGTAGAGATAAGAAGAGAGAGTGTAGAGAGAGAAGAAGAGAGTGCAAGAAAGTGAGAGATCCCTCTTGTAAGTTGAGACGATCGACTGGTTTAAATTCTTCAAGTAGTAAAATCCTCTGCAACTCCGTAGACGTAGGCAATTTTCCGAACCACATAAATTTGTGTGTTCCACTGCGTTACTATTTTCTGGTGTGAATTTTTTTGTTCTATTTTTCTCTTCATCAAAGATTGTTCTTCTATTTTAAATTTCATATATATACCACAACAACTGGAAGGAACAAAGTTCAACTAGTTAATCATGAATGAAAACCAAATCTTTACAAAGTATGCAATTTATTTGCTCATGATATTTCTACTTGCCCTTTGTCCTCCACCTTCCACCCTCCCCTAACATTTGCATAGATAGAGGTAGAAGTTGATTCAAGAATTGCTCAAGCAAACCCTCATCTCATAGTCATACTATTTTTAGAACTATAATTCCTAACCATCTATCTAATTATTTCCCTAACTCCTTAAATTCTCCTCCTCTAATGGTTACCTCTGATTCTGAACTCGATACCCCTCCTCTCTCTACAGAAAATGGTCAATCGTCTTCCTCTTCTCTATAGCTCAGAGAGACCTTCCCTCCCCCTAAGTCTACCTCTATTCCCCCACAGACATCCACTTCACTCTCCTCTTAGACCCTCACTGCTCCACTGATTTCACTGCTAGTAAATCCTCCTGAAGCATGCCTTCTCTTTCCTCAAGAAACCCCTCAGGAGTGAGGATGCCTGTGAGACCACACTCCTCAACGAAGATTTGGGCAGACTCGATTGCCTTTTTGCCCATAATTTGGCCTTCAGGAACCAATCAAAAGTCTTGACAAACCTCTCCAGTATCTTC